AAACAGACTGTTATATTAGGCTACTAATTATTGATCTTCAAAGAAAGTTTGAACATTTAATAGTAGTGAAGCATTTGCACACAACTGTTTTCCAGCTTGCTTTTTTCAAAGCAGGAAGAGGGGCAACAGACGATATCTTGGCTTCCCCTGGAAAACATACTGTATAACAATTACCAAGTACAACACTGCTCCAAAACACAGCCTCCCTGTGAGCACAATGAAAACCTAGGAGGTCTAAATTACAGGGCAAGGGCTGGGAAAAAAGACCGCAGACCATTCAGAAATGTGTTTCACGTCTTCTGCAAAGTCAATTGAGCTCAGATGAAATTATAATTAATTATATGACCTATAATTACTCATTTTCCAGATGTATAACTCAACAAAAAAAATAATTTTTAAAAACGGTCTTCAAAGCAAAAATCCCAAACTATCATTTTTAGTTGTAATTCATACCGCTGACAAATTTGATGAGCAAACACTCTTACTCAGGGCACCTTCCAATAGTCACATGAAGTGCAAGTCCAAGAAGCATATGGTGCATATGAGGTAAGGTGAAAGCACGTGAAAACAAAATGAAAACATGGCTAGCACCAACTGGAAAAGCAGTGCAAATGCTGCACAAACTAAATGGAGAAAAATAAAACAGTATACAGCTAATGTGGATACAAAATGGTTAAAAGCCTCTGTGTGAATAAGTGTAATTAGAAAGTTCTGTTATAAGAGCATTAAAAATGATGCACTACAGTGTAGAGTTGACAGCTGTTGGGCAGTTTTGACCTGTGGAATATTCATTCCACCACTGAGTGATAAGAGACTAAACATTAGTTGGTAAGGATTGGGTAGATTCTTGCTGGTTCTTCTTGCCATATGTGCCAGAGATGGATAAGGAGGGGGTGTGAGTAATACCAAGTGCTTTTGGCATAGGAAGATGAGGACAAGATGGTGGGGGAGTCAAGAGACAAAGAGTAGTCCACAAATGGGAAAAAGGAACTTCGGGATGTTGAGTTTCCTGTGGCGGGAGCACATCTGGGAGGAGAGAGCTGTGAGACAGGCAGAGATATGGAAAGGGGCATGAGTCCCCAGTGGAAGGACAAGCAAGGAAGATTTCAGCATCAGAATAAATAGGCAAATAGCTGTGAGATGAGATGAGAGAGCCAAAGAAGAGGGTAGAAAAGAGAGCAATGTTGGAAACATCACACGGCACTTTAAGGAACAACAGCAGAGAAAGAGTCAGGAGCTGACAGGCAGTTTTACCAGGACGCCTCGTATATGTGAGGTGTGAAAACCTGGTGTGTGCAGAGCTAGAAATTCCTGGATCAGCGAGTGTTGACAAGGGAGCACTGATCCAGAGAATTAAAAGGTGTCAGAGTACAGTAAAATTAAGCAGTAGTAAAAGGTGACAGAAGAAATTAAGCAAAGACAACCAGTAAGAGAGGTGATCAGTGGCCTTCGGATGATCCAAGCTAGTTAGAGATGGTTCCACAGAGTGTTGCAAGATGACCTGCTGGTGCAGAAAACAAAGGATGAAAAAAGTAATACATCTCAAAACCAGAGAGAAACTGAGATCTTCAGTTCTATTCTGTTAAGTGCAGCTTGGTTCTGGTTGAGCAGAACTAGAATGAAACCCAGGCACAGGAACAGGAGGTGAAAGCAGCACAACATTGTGCAAAAAAGGAAACAAAAGATGAGGTTTAAGAAATAGGGGTGGGAGGATCCACCAGCTATAGATCGGAATCGCCCAACGTTCCTTTCATTTGGCCGATACTGAGAGATGGTCTACGACGCAAAATATTTGAGCCAAAATTTCGCCGTGTGCCTTGGAATGAAAACATGTCGTCCGTCTGGCAGTTTTTTTTAAATATCTGATCCAGATCAAGCCAATGCTATTTGCAATGTTTGTAAAAGTAACGCGTCACTTGGGGGGTAACAACACAACACAATTTTAAAACAACGAGCCCGATACGACACTTAAGAGCACATCACCCGACCAAGTACAGCGAGTATCAGAAACTAGCAGAGCTAGCAAAGACGGATAAAGCTACATGTACATTAAGACAACCGTCAGTGCAGGAAACATTTGAGAGATACCAAAAGTACCGCAGCAATAATCCGAAAGCAAAAGGAATCACGACCAAAATAATGGAATTTATTGCGATAGGTATAAGATGTAGGATTCTGCCGCTTGATATCTCACCTAGAGCCACGCTATGCCAGTTGGTCATATTCATTAGATAAAAGAACTGTTAGACTGCAGCTTGTTACTTCATGTGAGGTGGTTACAACAATCATTGTCTTACTTGTTCACAAAACAATTTTAGCTTATACAATTTTGTGTCTTTGGCTGGATAGTAACGCACCAACAACTTGAAAATGTCAACCCCCCCCCGCATTGTATGGCTCTCGGCCAATCCTGCTTACTGAAAATCGGCAATCGGTATGGGCCTCACAAAACGTTGATCAGTCCGTCTCTAATAAGAACAGAGAAGAGAGAGGAGTTAGCAGAATGTGGCAGTCAGTGAAAGGCAGAAGGAGAGAGTGGAGCTTAAGGAGGGAGATGATACTGGGAGCCAGTAAGGAGCGAGGTGATGAAACAGTGATATAAATAGTCAAGAGGGGTGAAAGAGAGGGTGGAGGCGGAGATGTTCCTGAACAGATGATAAGATGTAGCTTGTGTCCAACTGTGAACTGGAGGAGAGAAAAAAGAAACACCCGCTCTACACGGTCAAACAAACATCATGAGAAAAAAGGCCCCACGCATACTTGAAGCAATGTACTAAGCTTTACATAAGGTGGCATTCTATGACTTTAACGTTTTTGACTAACTCAAAGCCTAATGTGGGGTGACTGCAGTATGTCATTATTGAGCAATACCTGTCTATCGCTGAAGCACTGCTGACCCGCTTGCCTGAACACCTGCCTGAAATAAGCCTTGAATAAACCATTCAATAGCCTTTTATGGCTGCAGATGGACAAAACAGTCCAACAAAATTAAGAAAACTAGAAAGCTACAAATCACAAAAAACAGAAATATATGTAGATTCCACGTTATGGAACTAGGTTATTACATCTACCCGCTAAAATAATCCTCTTTGTATTTTTATTTGATAAGAATGGTTTTATTTGCCAAATTACTCCAGTTTAAGGAGTCTGTCTTTCAGTTTGTCAGTTTAAGAAGTTTGTTTTGCATTAGCCAGGTTAGACGCTTCTGATTTCTATCCACTTATAAACTGCGGGGGTTAGCCCTCCAATTTCCTTTCATCTTCCAAATTTTCCACGTTTAAGGCATTTTATGAGTAAGCGCGGCAGCGAGATAAAGAGGAAAAAAGAATACAGCCGTCTTCCTGCTCCCATTTTGCCCCTTCAACCACCCCTGTTCTTGCTGACTCAGCTCACAGGCAGTGCCTCTAGAGCTGGCTCTCCGCTCTGCGGCAAGCAACCCGGACAAACACGCTTGGAAAAAGAACCATGTCGAGCTGCAATCCGTTTCCTTTTCCACATACTCACACAGGTACTGCGATTGATAACAGTACAGAATAAGGCCACGTAACACTTCTGTGTTGCAACACACAGAAAGTTACTTCTGCAACACCGACGATACAAGTTGCACTCAGAAGGAATAGCGGCAATACCAACTTTAAATTAACCATGTACGTTATTCAACCTGGGATTACAGGTGCTCATACACCTCGCTTATTAAGAAATTTGTATCAAATGAATCTGTAGTGGGCCGCTCAGTGGCGTGGTTCGGGACCACAGCTCTTAGGTCCTGGGTTTGATTGCGATACTGGGGCACCTGTGTGGAGTTTACATGCTCTCTCCCCCTGGGTACTGGGTTTCTGTCAGATAGGCTAGTTACCTCCCACAATCCAAAGACATGCTGTAGAGGTTAAGTGGTGTCCGTGAGCTGTGCCCCACACGCGTGTGAGAATACATGTGAATCCTGCTTGATGCACATTGTCCGCCTGACCGCAACGCTCTGCTGGACAATATTAGTGAAATGGTCAAAGTTATTGAAAACCTTGATATGACACTGCATCAGCTGGATCTCAAAGCTGCACTAGATTTTCTCCTGCCAACAGGCCTAAGTAAGCTGTTTTACCTGCAGAAACGCTCCAGTCTGTGTGAGGAAAATCACAGACGAAGCGGTAATTATGAAGGTTTCTATTTCTGTAACCTCACTTATGAAAGTGTGTGACTTTGCGATTCCCAACCCCCACTGCCACTACACTGTACACAAGCGCCTTTACAATCTCCTTGTGCACTTCACTGTACAACACGGACAAAGCATGGAATAAAGGCTCCTAGCGTTTGACTGGAAACTGCATGCTGTATATTGCAACAATGCTTGAATGTTGTTTTGCTTTAGAAAAACGCCCATCAATAAAAAAGCGCTGTACCTACTACGGGGGGAATTAAAAATATACTCACAAATCACTCCAAGGTCTACCGTGCAACCTCCTTAAACGTATTTTAATACCCCCCCAATTCAGTAGAAGCTTCTAAATAAAGACATTTTCAAGTCGAAACTTACTGTATAGATCTTTGATGCAAGTTTGACTTCTGTGTACGCAAAATAGAAATAACTATGGAACTATCACAGCAAACAAAACCGAGAAGCTTTTAAGACTTGCAGAAGCGTTGCCTTAGTCAAAACAGAAGTAACGCCGTGAAGAAAAGTTTTCACACTCTAGTGAAAAAAAGTGTCTTTTCCATTAGCCACAGAGATTAGTCTTTTTAAAATGTTATCATAGCACAACTAGAACCAAGTAAAAAAAAAACATTTAACGGAACAGTTTTTTCCCCGAAACTATATTTCACCTAGTTCTCCGCAATCACGATTAGACCAAAGAAGAAAAAATGTTCAAGATACTTGGAAATTGCGGGAACGCACACGCTGTACTTTCTCTGAGCCTTACATACTGTATGTCTTGCAAAACAAGCACAGAAATTTCAAACGAAGGCATTCCCCCACTCTCACACGCCTCGGTTACAGCCCTTACCTTACTTAAGGTCCATGACACTTATAGTAGGTTTGGGAAATAGTTACTTTTAAGTTTTCCCCGAGCTAAATCCTTAGTGTAACATATTTCAAGGGGTTCGATCCCCGATGCCGAAGACAGTAAATCCCAAATATTTTCCCTCCTCCAGCAGCTCTGCGATCCCGGCTCACCCTTGACTTCAAACAGGCGTGTTCAAACACATTCAATCTTCTCGGAGCCACCAGTGGCGCTCAGAAACTATGGGCCGCGCCACTCTCCGCAGGGCGCGGGGGACGACCTACAAAAACAGACATCGCATCTATGACTGTGAGAAAAGAACAAACCTTTCTATTTCATTTACTGAACCACAAAAGCTTCAGCATGATCTGGATTTAAATCGATGTCGAAGAATTTCGTCTGAAACCTTGATGTATGGAGGGTAATACTACGGCACCCACCTCTCCGCCACCCTTCGCCTCGTCGGACACAAGCATGGCATAAGACAAGCAGCGCAACAGGCTACCCCAGACACAACGTTTCTAGAGGCGGGGCGGTGACAGAGCGGAGAGGAAAGGTTTACTCAAAACTGAGACGACATCAGACGAGGATTTATTTAAAAAAAAACATTTAGAGTAGAATAATGATATAACGACTTGAAGCAGCATCATTGTTACAGTATGTTGTTGTGGTTTGTGTTTGGGTGATTTTTCAATACGCAAGCTATGATTCAATTGTGGACAGTACACCTTTATGTATATATAACACGTGAGCCTTATATATAATAAAAATAAAGTGGTATGCTATTTTATTTCGTTTTATTATATTTGCTTGTTTTCTGTAAAGAATGATATAAACAATTTTGATGACGCATTACTATCAATTATATACATATAAGCCATATTAAGAAAGTAAAACATTTCAAGCATTATATTTTGTGTTCGTGTAAAATTAGTAGTTTTCGCATTGTATAGTATTGAACTGCTTAAACACAAAGAACCACAGCATACTAAACATTTATCATTAACTTTATGAGCAAATCTGAAGGAAGCAAGAAATCAATGATCACCTGGGTGAACAGGTGAAGATTTGCTGAAAAGGTAAACTTGGTACCATTTCAACCAAAAAATATCGCTGTTACTTTGAGGCAATGACAATAACTGTGACAGAAACTACATGTCTAAGACTGCCTTGTGTGATATCAGAAGAGCTCTGACCGTGGCCTGCTCTTTATGAGTTATGCTTACAGTCACAGAGTGCAGGCATACTACTAATTGGTGTGTTAAGTCAGGGACAAAGTTTCAGCCAACAAAGCTGACCCAGGTGAACGAAGAACTGGCACCGGCTTGACTGGCAATCAGGACGTCTTTGGTGTGCCTCCAACACTTAGAGCTGTAACTCATTTATAATGAATAATAAAATGGACAGTTCATTGCAAAATGGAAATCTTAAATACAATTAGCATTCAAGTTTACAAATGCATCTTTTTACGCAGCTGCTTCTTAAAGTTTACAACTCAATATTTGCCTAGGATACATAAATAACCCTAACTTACAGTAGATATTAGATTGAGTTGGATATACAGTATACCTACACTATATTACAGGCTCACTAGCCAAAATCTATTACTCAAAACAATCCCAAAGCTTCGTAAATACCCAGAATAAATGGTGAAACATTGAACCATTCTTTAAAAAGTTAACATGATTTTACTCATTCAGAAACAACACACCTAGGAGGCCAGTGTTCCTGAGTACTTAGACCCTGAGTGCCATAGAAAAAAATGAAAGGTAGTGAATTTCAAGCAAAGACACAACCATGAGGTTTAAGTTCGTTTTCAAAGTGTGGGCTAAAGTCATTAAAATGCAAAAATCAGGAGAAGGGTAACAAAAATATCGAAACCTCTGAATATCCCTGTTGAGCACAGTCCACTTAATCATCAAGAAATGGAAGGTGCACCGTATGACCCGCACAAGGTCTGGCCATCCCTCCAAACTGAGCAGCCAGGCAAGGAGGAAACTGGTCAGGGATGCCATAGTGAGGCCAACAACAACTCTGGAGGAGCTACAGAGTTCAATGCCTGAGATGGGAGAAGATGTGCATCAGTCAACAATATCTAGAACACTTCGCAAATCTAGCCTGTATAGCAGGGTGGCAAACTCATTTGTAGTCCTGCATGGAGTTTGCAACAAAGCATGATTAATGTTACTACAAACATGTGGCAAAAGGTTTTGTGGTCCCACCAGACAAAATTGAAACTTTTTGTTCTAAGCTAAGCACTTCATCTGGCACAAACCCAACACAGTGCGTCTCCCACTGAACACCATCCCTTCTGTCAAGCTTGTTGGCGGCTACATTATGTTATGAGGCTGCAAGGCTTCAGCAGGGACTAGAAAGTGGTGTTAGAATTGAATGAATAATGTATGGAGCAAAGATACCCAGACAAATAACTACAGGAAAATCTGTTTCAGTCTGTTAAAGACTTAACACAGGTCCAAAAATTCACCTTTCAGCAGGACATTGCTTAAAAGCATGAGGCCAAAGCTACTGTACACTGGAGTGGCATAAGAATAAAGAGTGAATATTCTTTAGAATTCCCATTCAAAATCCTCCCCTGAATACTAATAAAAATGTATTTTTATTAGGATGCAGTCTACTTTGACCTTCACATTGAGGAAATGTGTTGCAAGATGCAGGTGAAGGACTGAAGGTTTGATGAAAGTTTTTTATCACTGACAGGAGATCATCAATAGCCAGGCTCTGCAGCTTTATCACTCTCATATCTTAGCAGTATGTGTTCAGACAAGTGGAAACAGGCATTCAAATAAACTCATGGGGGTGTAGCTATGTCTTTGACAAGGTCTGATTTCCAATAAGAGTAAGATACAGGCATTTTAAAAATAGCTTCTTATCTCAGAGCATTTGAGTGTTAGGGATGATCTGTTCAGTTACAGACCACCTAAGGAAGCACTTTCTCCATTATATTAGTAGATATGACTCCTTAGTTGGCACTAGTATGAAACTTGTCCACAGCAAGGACCATTTTACAGTCTCCAACATGTCAGTAACTCAAACATCACCTTGCGTATCATTTGCAGAGGAACATTTCTGAATGATAACTAAGCACAGAGGGACAAAAATAATTCTTCGTCAAATGCTGGAGCCACTTGAAATCTGGACTATATCCTTTTTGAAAAACATGCACGGTCTTCCAACTGCCTCAAGTGTCACAGATAAAACCTATAGCTTTCTAGGAAAGAGGCCCATATTCCTGCAAAAATCAGTAGTGCACCCATTGTAGAATTCATTGTAGGTACCCCAGACAAGGGTGTTTACCGCAGATATACAATAACATACAATAACAGTGCCGTCAGTTAAAGACAACAATGAAAACATTACGCAACAGAAGCATTGAGGTTATATTTCACCTTATTTAAATAGTGCAGTAAAAATGTATGAACACCTGATCAAATACTAATACTGAAGCCCAGGTTACAATATCAATAGAGAGAAAAATGTGAAAAATAAGCGATTGAACAAGACTGTGTATCCTGAAGTGAAATAAAAGACAAAACAGTTTGCAGCACTTCCATCACACATCAAAAGCATAATCTGCACAGCATTAGTGGGGTTATTACTAATGAAAAATTGAGTGTTGACCTACTGTTACTGTGACAGTCGTGTTTGAAGATATCATTCCTGTTGCTTTCAGTTAATAACTACTGAATCTACGGCTATCTGCAGTATACTATGGCCTAGTTTCCTCAGATGTCAGATTATCACTGTACATGACAACTACTGTTATTTGAATAGGTTTCCTTTACTCTAGAAAGTTACTTAGAAACAATATGAAAAGGGAATACAGATCAGTGGTAGAAGAGTTAATTGATGTTTCTTGTTTCCAGGTACGCGGTAGAGGAATGCTTTCTATTAACTTATCAATGAAGCAGTTTTCTTTCTAGGGGTGAATGAATCTTTAATGAATTCAAGACAAGAGGCAGTGAGCATGCACAGGTCACACCAAATTTCCATTCAAAAGCACAATGTTCAGCTTCCAATTAATTTTGAACGAAATTAATTTAAAACTCACCATTAGCTGTTGGAAAATGTGCTTAATCAGCTGGACGTAATCTGAAGATCTGTTGAAAGCCATGCATTTCAGCAGGAACACGAGCTCTTTTCAGCAACACGGTTTGTCAAAGTGTTTTATGCCCAGTGAAATACCCACTCCATAGGTGAGCATCAATGCGGTTTGAAGTAGAAGTATGGAATAACATATTACCACAATGGATTCATCCATTACAGGAAGAAGTATAAAAAATAGTTTTTTATATGACTTTAATATTATATCAGTGATATACTCTTGGTCACATGAGGGGAAAAAACTTCAAAAACGTAAAAAAATCAGGCATTTATAGGAGAATGTGTACCTACTGTATTTAAATCCACACTATATCTCCCAGCTATTGGGACCAACTGTATTGTGAGGTCCTTAGCTATTCTTTAGCAGCCTGAACTCCCCAGAGCAGCCTCACATATACCATTCCAGTTGTAGTTTCTAGACCTGTCATGGTATTTTTAACTATTTTGACCTGCATTTCATCTTCTTGTATTCTGTTGTCAATAAAGTTGTAAAAAAAAATTAGGATTTCCCTTTTGTGTTTTACTCCGTGATATTGCGAAGTGTATTTCAAGAGTCAAATGGTATGGAGTACATAAGGAACTGCATTAAACTTCACTTACTCTCACTTCCAACCCCTTAAAGCCCAGGTGCCTTTAAAAATTTCAAGCAGCATCTTAAATATCATTATCATTACATACCCATACTTCTTTATACTTACTACAAAAAGACTACAAGACTGCATACATTACAATTGAACTACACATTAGGCGTATTTTAAAAAACAATAGCCTTTCTTAGACTGCATATTATCCCAGAGGTGCCCTCTTATTATTTAGCTGCCTTGGGCTTTCAGAGTTCATTATCATTAACTCAACTCAAGGTTTCTGTAGCAGGGATGATTAAAGTTAAACTGTTTATTGTAAGAGAAATGTTTCATTCAGTTTCCTGCAGCTGTTATGCTTATTTTTCAAGCACCTCTACTGTTAACAGCTGCAATAATATTATGCCTCTCTGCCACAGAAATTTACTCCAGTTAAAACTATTAAACACACCCTGAAAAAGTGCCGACGCTTATAAAGTTGACACTTGTGTCAACTTTAAATATTCCACTTTGCTGCTCCCCAGACCACAATGAAAAATAAACATTTAGCCCATTGAAACACATACAGTGAAAATGAACTACTATCACAGAAATTGGCAAGTCAGGAATATACTGTAGACTGTAATTACAGGATTGCCTAGTAGGAGAAATTTTATTTTTCATACAAATAGTTAATATATGAAAAAAATGTATTGGATTAATTTGTGCAGACAACAGCTAAAATGAGCAACAAACAGGATTAACAAAGAATATCTTCAGATGGCAGAGGGTGTGGTGTGCAGCTAGAGAAAAACATGACTTATTTCATATTAAAAGTTACAGGTCACAATTTGTTGCGTATACAGCAGTGTTTCAAAACAATAAATAACCCACTGCCAGTAGCTGAAATTTACAGTGCTCAAATACATTTGTTAGTGTAAACCTACAGCATGAGATGTTCTCAACAGTTCCCCCATTTTACAATACATATACCAAAACATACAGTATCTTTACAATAAAAACTACTTATTTGGCATTAGTGACAAAAAATGGTAGGATGTCTTAATGAGTATCCATCTTAAAGTGTGTGTTAAGAGAGGAAGGAATAAAGGGTGCTTGTGTCTCGTGGTCTACAAGGCCATTTTCTGGTGCCGTCTGGTTGACCTAGTTATTGAGGTGGGGATTTGCTAATTAATGGTGCCGCGAGGGTCCAGAGCACTGCTATAAATTCAGATAGACATAAGAGGAAGAATCTTTGCTAGGAGAGCACAGTTATTAAAAGTTGATTTAGGAAACAACAATAACAATGTTCCCCGGAAGCCTGGAATATTGTGAAAGATATCATTTTAGCACTTATGATATATCAATGGAAAATTTACAATCACACAAAAATTATCGTTTACTGTCCAAAAAATAAAATAATTAAGAACTCATATTGCATCATTAGCCTAAAAAAAAATCATCAGGTAACTCTTAATCCAGTGTGCTGACAACCAGCAATACACAGTTTCTGTGCTTCTATGTCTTCTTATCTCGGAATGGAAATTACATTTCACAACACGCAAAAAAGGATTGTAACTGCACATTTCACATGGCATGTTTTTACCAAAAAACAAAGCACCCACAGTTACTTACAAAAAGCAGGCTGTGTGTCCTTGTGGATGGGTCTGTGGTTCTTATTCTTTACCTCGACAGGATGGAGCCTGGACCAGGACTGGTTGTCATGGTTACAAGGACGGATTCTCATGTGATTTGGTAACTAAGCGTAAGGTAGGCAAACAAGGCACAGCCCTCCTTGCTGATGACGTTATCTGCCCACTTGGAGAGACGGCTCACTGCCTGCAAAGACACAATGAGAGGCTTGAGAATTGTGCTGGAATAAAGGAGAGGGGGTATTATTCCAAAGCTTAACATCAGATTTCTTATGAGGTCGCTGTGTGTGAGTAAACTGATTCATGAATGCATCATAAATCAGCATAATGTACATGCACTCAGTCTCAGACACAGAGATGCACATATGATACCCTTTAATTATATAATATAATATATCTTCATTATAGACGCCCTCATAATAATATTAAGCATTAATATAACATTATCATTAGTGACAAACCATAACTTAGTAGATCAAATAGATGTGTTTGCTCTGCTTATTGTACCTATTATCTTTGTTTGTGAAGTACTAAAAACTATTGATTGTACAAACTGTCAAGTGATAACAACATATAAGTAAAACTGGTTTACATGGCTTTTCCAAACAAGGTGATTAATCAGGTTAATTCTTGTCTTTAAGCTGCAGGACCATCCAGCGTAGCTTACTGTAAATTCTTGTTTTTTCTGCTGAAAGAAAAGCACCTAAGCCCAGTGAAATTAGGTTTAGTACTTTAATACATGATGAATTTGATTTGCTTTGGTACTTGCAAAAACAGCAAATATTCAGTGGAATGAGTTGCAAATTACAAATAAGCATCTAAACAACATTTGACTGAATAGAATTGTGTATTCTGTTAGCTTAGCTGAACTGCTGTCCAGTGTAGCATTGCTTTCTGAGAACAAAGCAATGCCTCATGATGGGATGATGTCTGGCACATTGAAAGTAAATCAATACAATAAAGTACAGCCTTCTTTTGCCTCAAACTCAAGAGCTCGGATGATAATAATAAAATGTTAACTATCAAAAGCAAGGGTACAGCTAGATGTTCACACCATCACAGCTGTCTGTTTTGGGGATCGAATGCTACCAAAGGCCAGATACAATAGGTTTTACTGTGATGAAAATGAACAAAGACAAAAGCTAACAAGACCAAACTTCTTTTGCTATAGTTTAAGTGCATGTTTACACAAAATCTCATAATGATTCATGGTTCACTGAGGCTCTAAAGTACCGGTCTACCACTGAATCCTTGCTTTGTAGATGAGGGTAACAGAGCCCCACTCCACCAACACCACCAGCTGAAATGAGCCAAAGAGCTTCCACTACGACAATAACAGGCAGGAAGGAAGACTGAGAAGTGATGGATGCTGGGGTAAGTGACCAAGTTAGCTGTATTATAGTGTAATCAGACACAGCCTCCACAGGGAGGATGTTGTTCCATCAAAATTTCTCAACCATTTTATAAACTTTCATTTAAAGAAGGGCTTTGAAACGATCACCTTAAATTTCAGACCAGTCAGAAACCCCTTTTTCTTATTGACACAAAATGAAAGTGAAGGAGGAGAAGAAAAAGTTGAGTTGGTAAAGAGTAACCAACACTACATGCTGAGCTAAATACAGAATACTGGCGTTGCTTTTGGACACAGCAGTCCTTACACATCAACACTTTAAGTTATTTGTCTCTATAGCGCTAGGAAAGTCCAAATATTTTGTACTTCAATATGCAGGGCAAAATATTTTTTTTATTGGTTATTTATTATTATTTATTGGTTATTTTATTGGTTATTTATTTATTATTATTTGGTTCAGCTACATTTTTCATTTCTACATACTGTATAGCATCATATACATTTTTGGGAATGGAGGCTTTATAGTGATGCTGCTATTAAGGTGTAAACAGGGTTCTCCATCCTGCAGTGATGTGAACAAAATCTGACATGATTAATCCTATCCACAGGATGAAAGAATGATGTCATTGTTTCTAGGAACTATAAATGAACCAACTGTGCATGATGTAAGACTAAGTGGATCAATTTCAAAAGCCACTCTAAATTCTGCACTGTGTCTCTGTTAACTCCCCACTTATAATTTCTTAATAATAATAATTGCTTACACTTATATAGCGCTTTTCTGGACACTCCACTCAAAGCTCTTTACAGGTAATGGGGACTCCCCTCAACCACCACCGATGTGCACTATCCACCTGGATGATGTGACGGCAGCCATAGTGCGCCAGAACGCTCACCACACATCAGCTATCGGTCGGGAGGAGAGCAGAGTAATGAAGGCAATTCAATTCACCACCTACAGTGTCTGAGTTTCAAATCTCCTCTTTCAACAGATTATCATGCTGGTACGAGCCTATACAGCAAGACGTTTTATGATTCTTTGAAGTAAAAAATCATGCACGTCCCAGAAAAAAAGAGAAATCAGGGACAAAAACAAAAGCTGAATCACATCACTGAAGCCCATGAAAAAGATGCATTGTTCTATTACCTTTGATGTAAAAAAAAAACCTGCAGTGTCCATTTAATGATAAATGTCCAAAATTGTTTTATGTTCAAAAACAGTTATCGGCAAAATATCAATTTGTCCAACAAATACTTCAGGAAAAAGGCAGTGGAGTAATACTTAACTCGGGTTAGTAAATATTATTAACAGCAAGCAATATACAAACATAAAAGTCAGACTTGGTAAAACTACAGGAAATTGGTTTTGTTCCCTTTGATGTCCTAAAGGTTGTAAAACTCAGAGAAGATTCAACACAACAGTTGCTTCAAATCACTTAATTAATTAAATGCAGTACTTACTTAGTATTGATTAATTCAGTAAATACAATATTGAAGCGTATGTAAAATAGCAGAGCTGGACTTGAACCATTTTTCTGGCCACTAACAAAAAAGCAAAAAAAGAATTTACTGTATGATAGTATTTTACATAATGTAAGGAGTTCTTCTGTGATGAAACTGAAATAACAAAGTTTCAGGGACCTTAATGAGTCCTGAAAACCGAATGATTTACAGTACAACTGTCATTGATTGACAAACACAACCTTAAAATACAGTACATGTGCAAAACTATTTTTTTTTAATAATACTATCAGGTTTGTAAAAACCGCAAGCAAGACTACTCTTATGCTAATAAAAAACATAGTAGCCAGATTTCAAGTCCTTTGTACAAACAATAAATACTCCATCTAGTTATCTTGGATCTGCATTTCATAAATTAGACTTTCTTCAGTCCAGGGCAGATGATACCAGGCTTTTACTGAGGATCAGAGAATTTGAAAGAGACGTTTCCTGCTCGGTAGTGCACTTTAGCACCATACATAATGCATTCATTTTACTCCCAAAGCAATCAGCATCAACGCTGAGAACTGTACAATAGTACAGCTGAGAAAAAGACTACCTGTCTGTACAATAATAACTAAAATGGAGAAATACCAGAGTTGTATGTTCTCTCTCAAAAACTAGAACTGCAATGCCACTTAGGATATTTCTTTCTACATCTGAACTTTAAACTTTCACATTAACTTTCAGGAAATGGGAGGCAAGTTTAGGACCTATGCAAAAAGCTTTTTTAAATCCCACACCAGGTATGAACAAAGAAAAGGAGGAAATGAGAATTTCACTTAGTTTTAGGCTATCAAGGAAAGAGCAAACAAGCTGATGGTCTATTTCCCATTGTATACAACTGAATTACATTCTTCCCAGACACATAAAAATCACTATGAAGAGCACAGAGAGACATCACTGGAAGCAGGTACAACAAGGAAAATACTGAAACACAAAAAGTCCAGAGGTTGTAGTTAAATGTAAAAGCCAGCAGCCATTTCACCCTGCAACTCACAATTGGCAACTGACTAAAGCTAAGCAAGTGTGAGCCTGTACTTGGATGGGAGATCTTCTGGAAAATCCTAAGGTTGCTGCTGGAAGAGGTGTTAGTGGGGCCAGTAGGGGGGGCTCACCCTGCAGCCTGTGTGGGTCCTTATGCCCCAGTATAATGATGGGGACACTATAAAAAATTATTGTATTATACTGTAAAAAGGCATTGTCCTTCGGATAAGACTTAAAATCCCAGGGCATTTCTCAAAAAGGGTAGGGGTGTTACCCTGGCATCCTGGCTAAATTTCCCGTTGGCCTTTACTATCATGGGCTCCTAATAATCCCTATCTATAAATAGGCTTCATCACTCTGTTCTCCTCCCCACTGTTAGCTGGTGAGTGGTGAGCACTATGGCTACTGTTTCATCATCCAGGTGAGGCTGCACAATGGTGATGGTGTAAAGTGCTTCGAGTGGAGTGTCCAGAAAAGCGCTATATAAGTGTAAGGAATTATTAATGTTAATAAAGGAACAGAATGGAAATTACCCAGTATCAGGGATTTGAAAGACTCCTCTGTGAAACACTGAGCCTATTACACCATCTTCTCCCAGTCGACACAAAGATTTATATGTGATGTATGGTATTGTTGGCTCCTCCTTCTGCTACAACAGGCACATGAAAGGGGTCATGATGAGAAGAGCTCTTTCAACCAACAAGTCCATCATTAGCATTTCATGGGCCAAAGCGCACATAGCTCCCTGGGACAGAGTAGGTCGTAATTCTGTCAGCAAGCCAAGCTCTACAGAGCAGCACACAAACTGTACTCAGACCACAGGGGCAGAGCCCTCCACGTGGGCTGTCTAGCAAGACACATGCCACACTGGGACCAACATACTATGCAAGCGGGGTGACAGAAAGGGTTTTCTCAGTGATATGCCCACTTTCTTTTTCTCATTAAGCACTCTGAGTTTGTTTTTATATTATTAGTGACTTCCTCGAGAGAGCCGTTTATCCAAATCAAACACAAACGGTGCACAAATTTTAGCTGTAACATAAATATACAGTACCTATAACTGTCAAGGGCTCAATAGGAGAGAGAAATGTTTAACTGTTAATTGTGCTGGATGTGTGGTTGCTCAGTATATTGTATTGTAAACCTTTGACTGGATTTTATATATTACACAATTATAATTATTACATTTAACTGTTTGAAAATAAGTACATTTAATTGTTTGAAAATAAAACAATTCATATAAGCAGTAATATTTATTTATGAGGAAGCTTAAAAAAGAAAAACTACTCTTTGCCTATATTTAACCACTGTTTAGATTACAAACTATCTTTGTTTTTTGTCCTGAAGAA